GAGCAAAGCAAACATATAGAAATTATAGTTTTCGCTATTTGTTGATGTTTGTCAGCGTTTAAGGGTCCTTCTCACGAAAAAAGCATTTTCTTAAAAATTCCTAGTTTTTTTTCCTTCAAATTTTTTCAGGGCCACAATTGATTAACTAACTACCCGGACTCTGAATTTCATGGTCATTGAAAAACTATGACATTATCTTCTATAAGCCCAAACTTGAGTAAACATTGAAGATTTTTAGCGTTTTGGCTGAATTTGTGCTTTGGGAGTTGTCTATTGTTTCTAGTCTGTCATTATATAGCATTCCTGTTCAGCACGCGTGCAATGACCACGCTTGGCTGACTTCCGAATGCTCACCGAGATGTGATAATCTAATATGAGAAAATAGAAGGGATTCCCGTCACGAGTTGGTTTAATTATTGGCTTGCATTAAACTTATGAAAAAATGATATTATTTTTAATAGTTAGTAGATTTAGTGTGTAGCACTTCTTGTTTTTTTTGAAAAGGCACAAGAAGCACGAGAATTGATTAAAAATTGTGAGTTAAACCTCTGTGTATCACGCGATGGCCTGTCATTATCATATCTCGGTGAGCATTCGGAAAATGTTGGAAAAGCTACTTCACTCCAGAGCTGAATGAGAGATTTGAAAAGGAAGTGTTAGCAAAACTGAAAACTACCCCTTCGGAATTAGTTTTTGATTTTGAGATATAGGGGGGTATATACCAATAGGCGTTTGTACATTATGCTAGCATTTTTTTTTTCGAGCATTTTAGTCAGGCAAAAGCATTAAGCATTATTTGAGCATTTTGCATTTTCTTGGAAAATTATCATATTTTTTCATTTAAAAAAGAAATTGACGACTTAAACTCGAAATTGACGTTGAGAAAAATATGAAATCAAGAGAAAATACTAGTAAATATATTCATTGACTGTACATTGCTGTCAAACCATTTGTACATTTTTGTCAGCCTTTATAACTTAAACGCTCTCAAAGCGTTTAGAATTTATAATAAACCTCTCTGGTGGTGAGCACTATTCCAGCATTTTAATTAATGACTATTTTCGGGGGCGACTGTCTGTGACCATTAATTTTAGTGGAGAGAAAAAAGCATTATGTACGAAAGCCCACCAAACTGTAACAATATAACCTAAATTGGCAAAGAAGAGACTTACATTAAACGTAATTACTTACACCAAGTTTTGTAATTTAGATTTAAAATCGCTTAGACCAATTAGCTGCTGCGGTAACCAAAATTAAATTTAAACTCATGAGAGCAGAAGCCGATAGCTGGTGAAGACTAGACGTGATCTTGGGTTAAACAACACAACTGGCAATAACTTATCATGGCCAGACGTTTTCCTGTAATTCGTATAACAGAAGGCGAATGGACATCAGTAAAATTCTGGAGGCTTTTGGGCGTGAACATTCCATGTTTTTTCACCAACGATCCAGCATTTTTAGCCGACTACATTGCCAATTTCGAGACGCGGCTAGATGATGTTTTTGTGGTTTCATATCCTAAGTCAGGTTTGTGCATCGTTATCATCAATCCATACACAGGGGCAATTTGGGGTGTTCGATCGAGCTAGCGTTGTTACGGTAGCCTGCTTAAGCTATCCTCCTTTTTGTTTTTTGGCATTTTCAAAAAAAGAAAAAGTAGCGACGTCGTTAAACCATTTTTCACTTGAAATAATTATTTTAATCTGAAAATGATTATATTAACAACAAAGAGAAAAACAGGAACATTTTTTACACGATACTGTGCATTTCGTTAATCCAAGAATGTTCATCTTCACTTTTAACGTCATCCTGGGGTACCAGGGCCTCCTAATCCGATATACTCCTTGTGATTTTTTTTAGGTTTTTTTTTTTTTTTTTTCCAATACGACCAACCGACCAACATCAGGAAACGCATTCGACGCTAAACGAAAGAAAACGGGGATTCCTTACCTAGGGGTTTCTTGGGTGTGATTTTCGTTTTTGGCGGACGCGTGCGAGGCCAAATGAAAACCTTCGCCCCCTCCTCTTCAAGCTCGGTTCAGGAGCACGCTTCTAGAAAGTCCCCGATATCTTTTCGGGTTTGAAATCAAATATTCAATTTAAAATCTAAAGAATAAGAACGTGGCTTCTAGTTAACAAGACAACAACAGGTTTCCGGGCCAGTTAATTGTCGGGACTTTGAAGAAAGGGACTTCAGCTCTCGATCGAGCAGCCGTATCTCTTACTTTACGAACAACAAAACCAGTCAGTTTTCTGACAGTTTTCTTTGTCGCTAAGAAACCCGGGGGAAGTATTCCGGTCCTGGGAATTCTTGGTGGGGCTGTGCCGCCCGGTTCTCCAAATCCTGACTCTATTGTCAACGGTCTCACTGTAACATATATATATATGGTTAATTGTTCTCCTAAAACCGATTTTTACAATCTGTGCCGTAAGGTTCTTCGCCTTATGGCTCACGCTCAGCAACCTACCATTCAGAGGCCAAGGGCTGACCAAGACGCCATGCTGCTCAAGCAGTTGTCCCGCAAGTTGAGCCTCCACCGATGGCAGAACCTCAGGGACACCCAACGACAATTTTCGGGAAAATATCTGTTCGGAAGACGATTTGAGATCTAGAATTTTCGGAACATTTGTTGTAAAATTTCTTGCTTGCCGGCCTCTCCTATCATTTTCGAACATCTAAAAAATGGTATAATTACCTATTTTTAACGGATTTTTACCCTAAAAAGGTCACCTAGAATTTTCAGAAGCCTTTTTTCTGGCTGAAATTTTCGAAAAGGTAAGTTTTGATCCCTATAATTTTCGGATCACTCAGACTTTCAGCTAGGAAATCCGAACAGATGAAAAATTGTTAGGGGATAAAGATATGCCTTTATCTACCGTTCAAATACTAAAATACGTTTAACAATGCTATGTTTAAGTGGTTTTGAACTATATTCTCGTTGGGTGCCCCTGGAACCTGCTCCATTACCGGAGGAGAATTCAAATCCTCCACCCAAACAACTTTATCTTGTCTTACTGTGTTCCTTGTTTGGGTTTTTCCCGTTTTGTTCGCTTGCGTCATTGAGATTCCAGTTTTTTATTTAGTTTATACGCGTCTATGCTGGGTTTTTCCTTTTTCTTTCCCAGCTTCGTTTATTATGCAATTACAACAGCAAGTGGTAACGTTGCGAGTATGCGCGAGCCGCTGGACGGAAGTTTGTGGTGGTATTGGATCGCAGCGAATGCAGCAAAGAAAAATGGCGCCTCTTTTAAAAATTACCATCGTCTTAGTCATCTGTTCTATCTTTGTGGAGTGCAGATAAGACAAAGTCTTCTTTGTAATATGCGAGATTGGTCTCAAGGCTAATAAGTCGCAGATCATTCACAATTTTGCGCGGTTTGTGGTCCATGAGTGATTATTGTTTCGTGTTTTGGCTTGCGCGCGGACACGTCGATGGGGTTCTGTGTAACAGCTGCAAAACTCCTCTATTAAACACTGGATAACTGGGAAAAAATCTCTTCATGTAAGTTGTGACCGAGTACAAAACGTCCGACGCTTACGATTTGAATAAAACGCTGTGAAAAAAAATTCTAAATGCTAGTCTGTTTATATAGTCATAACTGCAGTTCTTGCGACAATCCCCTTGCAATAATACGATTTCACGTCAGTTATGGTTCAGGAACGCCCTGTTTTTCAGAGATGTGCAACCTTAGTGCAGTGATTCTGCCAGTGATTACTTTTCAGAGATACCCCATCCTAACCACCAGTGGCCAAAGCAGGTGCAGTGCCCTAATTCTGCGACTGATAAAATTTCAAAGATATCCCACCCAGGGCTATGAAATTGTATGTTTCCTTTCTTGACTAGATGATATAAAACTGAAGACCCAAACTCAAGAAATGACATCTATTAAATCTATATGATGCCTTAACTTATTCAGGGGTGTAGGCAGAATTTTGTAATATGGAGGCTCTTGACTCCAAGATGCCCCTTATACTTCTAAAATAAAGAATTAGATGAGCCAAAACAGGAGTGTGGTACAAGATGTTTCATATTGCAGATGTGTTTTATTGAGGTAACCCTAACCATGAAAAATCCTTCCCTTTACTCCCCACACTTCTACATACTAGAAAATTGCAAATATGCACACAACAGTGAAAATACTTAAAACAGTAAAGATCATAGTTATATCTAAAACTGCATTTTCTCTCTGAGACATTGAAGTGAATTTTCTGCTTCTGATACTTCCATGCTTGCACTCATTTTTGCTTTTCATAAATTTGTTGTTGGTATTTTCTACTGCACATGTGTTAATTATTTAAGATATAACTAATAAGGCCTAGCTCAATTGACTAGCCCATATCTGGGCTAAGATTAAAAAATTGAAAATGAGAGAAAATTAGCTCTAACTTTTCCTTTTCATTCAATTTCAACATGAGGAGAACATAAGGATCTTAAAGCCTGATATTTATAAAGTCTGACTTTATGGTAGCTTCAAGTGAGCCAATGTATGACTCATTAAAATTAAAGCTTGTCTGTGTGTCTTCTGGGGCACCAAGGCTATTTGACGCAGTTCAGGATGGAGTGACAGACCCTTCACATTCTGCAGGCATCATAAGGTAAAATAGAATACGGATAGTCGCCATTTTGTACCAGCTCTGCTATGGCTTGAGTGAAAAGTGCGACTGGTTTAAATGTGACAATGCAGTCGTCCTCAATGACTATCACCTGAACCAACAAGGTTTAGTGCTGAGCATCTCATAGGGAGCTCCTGCAACAGGAAAAAGGCAAATGAAATTTTTCATGCGACACCAGGAGCATCAATGAGATTGTTTCAGGGGCAATTTTACATAAATTGCAACTTGTGCAGCCTATGATATATGACTATATACGCTACTACAGTGTATACACAGCCAAACCGACACTGGCAAGCCAAGTGCTCCTAAATTCATGTGCACAAACACTGAATATATGAGACCCAGAGTATCAAAAGATCTATTTCTATTGGAGAGTGAAAAGTTACCCCTATGGCATTTAGTTGTTGCCCACAACTAGCGATACCCCTTTAGATATTTTTTCAGGATTTCTCAAGTGTCATGGATAGGAATTTTTATTCAAAGAGGAAAGAAATCTTTTGGATAGAAAAGGAATAATAACATTTATGATTTTTGTAAGCGTACAAATACATTGTATGTGATGAAGCTAATTCTTATGTGGATGCCAATGTAAGGAATCAAATACAGGGATTTCATGTCCAGTGTTGTCTGTACTTCAAACAGAAATGGCAGTCCAGCAAGTGCAAAGGTGAACAAGGGCAAGAATTGTTTTGCGCTTGAACTTGTGCTAGTGTCAAAGTGGGAGTAACATTGTAATGGTCATATGAAAATGCATTAAATCTACACTTATTAAATCACTTTTATAGTAGGGCAGGGAAAAGAATGCACATATGTGTATTTTCATATTTTATACTGATTTCAGTTATGTTTCATGACATTAAGTAAACATTTTAAGCATAACATTACAATTCTTTCAGGCGCCAATTTTGTGTGTGTAAACAAATCATCATTGAATAATTATCAGAATAAAATAATCTTCCAAATGGTGAGGGTTCTTGTCAGTGAATCTGAGAGCTTACAGTGCATGATTATTAAAATGCACATTCATCAGTGTTCCCCCCCTTGGATGCAAAATCAAACATTCAAGAATGAAAGAGTGTTCCGAAACAATGCTCTTACAAATAAGTTTTGTTGGGATATACTTTTACATGTTAACGAAAAATCTAAAAACAAGGTTGAAAAGGACAAGAAAAATTTGTCCATCTTTAACGAAGTTTTAGCAAATAATATTTCACAATCCACCGCCTCGATCTCCTAATCTCTGAGAATAAGTAATCGCCATAGAGCACCAATGTAAACCAGAAAAGCAAATTCTTGAAAATGGAAGGAAACATCCGACTATGGCCTTACTTGTAAGAGTAGGAAATTTGCTTGTTGATTTCATGCCGCTAAATAGTATCAAAATACTTGAACTTCCCCCCTTTGAATTAACCATTAAAAGTGAAAATACAGAGTGACCGAAAGAGAAGTTTAACCTGTTTAGTCGCTTGTGTGGGATGTATCACTGGATCTCGCTGTACGGTCAGGGTCAAATACTACAAAAATACCAGGGTCACATAAATTACGTTGAATTCAGGCTGCTATAATTCCTCGCGAAGCGCCGAGCCGCGAGGTTTATAATCTCGTCGCGCGCGAAGCGCGCGTGTATCACTCAAGCATCGCAAGGCCAGCGTGATTTCCTCTTGGCTATAAATCTATCGAGTTTGGTTGGTGTCCGCCTTGACGTCATCCAGTAGTGACGTCAAAGTGCACTATGGGTTTCCAGGCAACCGATTGCCATCGACGACAAAGCTCTTGGTTTTCTTCTTGAAGACGGGTTTTTTCATCTGTGAATTATAACAATGTTTACGGTCGGTGAGTCACCACCCAGTATCTCAGGTAAATAAAACAGAACATCAAACTCAACAACGGTGGATTCAACAAGTGGCTGGAAATCCTCGCTGGGAAAGATTTACAAGCAAAACTCCGCAAGAGCAAGGACGTCAACTTTAAATTCAGCGCGAGTAACCGCACATCGAAGGCAAACACTGTCAACTGGAGACAGAGGTTATACAGCGACCACGAATATGTAAAGAGTTAGCAACAAAATACTACAGTTACACTGCAAAAGAAGCCGACGAAGAGAGGGAACACCGACTGCCGACGTTTCAGTATTCGGTCAATAGAGTTCGCAAGGAGAGGCAAGTTTACAGTCAAAATTATCTTCGATGCAACGATAGGAAGCAAGAATTACACGATTTGTAAAATCGACATGAGGAGTATCTTTGCAACGGACTGAGGACAGCCGATCAGCCTTTTCACCGTTTTACAGTAAGCTTTATTTTACAATGAACAGTTTACAACACCGATAATGTGTGACATGTGGGGAAGCATTACATTTTGTAAACAAAATCCTTACTGGGCTAAATTTTTCCTTTAAGCTTACAATTTTCATTCAATTTCCTTCACAAGTAAAATAAATGTATGTATAGCAGACTTATACATAAACCCAGCGGTGTTTTTTAAGTCAAACATGACAAAAATTTGTTATTGCTGGCCCCCTTTATTTTTGTTCCTATATTATTCGAAAATAACATCAGTATTTCGGATATCCTCAGAATGTTAGTGTGTGACATGGTTGCCATGCCAGGAACGTTAATTCCTTTCGCTGTTAGGGAAAATTTAACAGGTCACTCATAAAATTTTACTCTTTCAAAGAAGTCAGACAGAGGTGACATATTCACAGAAATAAAACATTTGTTCCATTGGCAGATGAAGGTTGTTTCAAGAAATTAAACGACATGCAAGCAGATATTTATGTAGGGTTTTCCATAAGATCAATCCATCCTGTACTTAGCTTTACATTCACCAGAAATGTGTGTAATACAGAGAAAGTGTTCATTTGCCTCATCTCAGTCTGGGAAATTAAAAATCTATGGCTCTGGCACTGTCTCAACAAGCTCATGCATGTTTAGAATTGAGACCAATGGAGAAACTGATGACCTTCAACATAACTTCTTTGTGGACATTTCATACAAATTCACTCTTGCATAGGGATTTGTTTCTTATGCATGTACACGAATAACTATGAACACTTGCCTAACTGGTAAAAAATTAGTACTTTTTACATGGATTCAGTTCTTTAAGGTGAATGCCCACACATACAATAATCATAAATCATGATCACTTTAGTAATTCTCATGAACTGCATCCTTAATGACATTGCTACTTGTAATTTTCTATTTCAGTGATTATGTTTGCACTTTACTGTTACAAACAATAGTTGTCAAGTCAAGTATGATTATGTACCAAAAAAAGTGCAAACACTTTTATAGCTGTAGTTCGCTGAACAATAATTTTTTTCTCCGATTAGCAGCATTTAGTTGTTGTTTTCACTGCAGCATTATCTCCTAGAATTGCCATCCACTCACCTCTACTGACACATTTTACAAATAATTATTGCCCTTAAGGGTGAGCTTTTATTAAGCAAATGCAACTGAATACTAGCACTATCACCCCCATTTCCTTTTGACCATAATTACACACATTTAGGAGGGTCAAATGGAGTGAACATTGGGGGATGGGACCTATGCAGCATTCGCTAACAACAGCATCCCCATTAAAATCTCAGAAGATTCTTTTTAAAGCTAGAGCACTAGGTTCAAATTTAATCCACAGGGGATTAAGTGCATCTCAGCTTCCAATATTAGATCCACCCTCCCCAGTTACATGATTTACTTCATTTCTCTCCTGTCCTCCCACCCCTTATGGGCTCCCCCCCCCCCGAGCTTCGCGAGGTTCTGCGATACACGTATTTCTAGTTTTAACACATAACATTCGATGATGCTACTCCACATTTCACAAAGTAAATCAAGGGGTATATCTTACCTAAATGTTAGGCAGCTCTGCAGATCGTGGCAATAACCCAGAAATCCGTGACCGCTTGAATGTCAACAAATCAACATATCACAACAAACGACCTCGTGAACGCTTTATGTGCTTCATCAGAGGAGCCAAATGGACGAAAATTAACCACCTAAATGGTCCTTCTCCCATACATGACACTTCAACATGGCTTAGCCAAAGTATCCAATCTATAAGACATGTCTGTTGTCGATTGGGTATGCAAAAAAATCTCCCTTGAAAGTGCTTCCGAACGGCTTTCGGCCATTACGATTTCCCGTCAACAAGTGCTTCCCAGCAAGTTTGACGCATGCGTAAACGTTGCCACTTGCTGTTACGCCTTACAGATTCATTTCGGCATCTGATGCTGCGTTATTTTCACGTGCATTTCGCACATTGTAGCCTTTTTTTTTCCGCTCGCCCTTCGATTTTCTGTCGGTTATAGTTTATTTTATTAATCTTGTCTCACTGCCGTTTTACTCTCGGGTTTTTATATAATTTTCTGGTTACCACTTGGTCCCGTTTTTTGCTTATAAAGCTTTAATTTTTCGCGGGTTAATAGAAAGTCCCACTCTCGAATAATTGTGTGGCAGATTGTCAACAACGTTCAGTGGCAGAAGGTTTCGTAAAATAAGCATAGGTGTCGCGGCTCGTGAAGAAGGGAGATCGCGTCCAAACTAATTGAATAACATGCTATGTGTCTTTCTAACGGCTATGGCATTCATGCGAACACTTGTTACCAAGTGCGCGGTTGTAATAAGCGGAGCGGTGGAGGTTGCCTTCCCGCCACAAGGAAGGTTGTGGTTGCCATCTTCTATCTTCGGCCATCTCAAAGGGTAGGTTCATATTAATCGAAAATAAAATCCAGTAGCATGCATAAGGTTGGTGGTGTTAGAAGCACTATGATGAGCTTTGGTTTTTGTATTTTTATCACTGGTTTAATATGTATAGGGACTACATGGGTACAAGGAATTGTTTGGCAAATCTACTGCTAACTCAAAAGTTAGCTCAAGTAGGTGGTGGTGGTGGGAATATCATTATTTTCATTCAGAAGCACTCTGTTGAGCTTCAGTTTAACGTTATTGTATTTTTATAACTGGCTTAATATCTAGGGACCACATGGGTACAAGAAATTGTTTGGCAAATTTGCAACAAAGGAGCAATCAGCAGTGAGAAGCTAACACTTCGATCTCCATTTCTGGAAGCTTCCAGCAGCAACACTGGCCAACCGGTCCTAGAAACACTTTCAAGTCCTCGTCTGATTAAGTCCCACCTACCTTACAGCACTATTCCGAGACGTGCAAACAAAGATGCTCAATGTAAATACATTTACGTTGCTCGGAACCCAAAGGATGTGGCAGTGTCACATTTTCATTTTGAGGAGAAAATGAAAGAGTCTGGCAACGGTTACAACGGACCTTGGGACTTTTACAGCAAGTTGTTTATTGAGGGAAATGGTAAGACCTTTCTCTTAAAATAATACATTTTACAAGTTTCAGTAAGTATTGCCGGATTTCTTGACACAAAAATAAAGAATTCACGTCCCTAAACTGAAGCCAGACAGTAAGATTTTCATATGCCGAACGTTTAATTGCCCCAAAGGAAAATACTGTAATTAAAAATAATTTAGTTCTAAAATAAATACTCTTTTATTAGTAATAACACTAGTTACTCAAGGGAGTGCATGTGATTACAACTGCCGTAATTGCAGACCAATAGGCCATTTGCTTAATGACGTCATTTAACCACTACGACCAGAATCCTTCAGGGTCTCGCTTTCTTGTGCAAATCAGGGCTTTTGTTATTTAAACCTAGCTGGGATTAACAATTTTTTGAAAAACATGAAAGAAAAAACGAAAATCATTCTGGTGGTAGTAGTAAAATGACGCCATCGTGCAAATGGCCTTTTTAGCTTGAGGAAGCAGCTGACATTTCGCGAAGTCACTGCTGGTTTCCCAGATTTAAAATCTGGGTAGTGCTTCTGATTGGTCGTGCCACAAATGAAATTTGCTTCCACCAATCAGAAACACTACTCAGATCTGGATAGTGTCTGTGTCATGTCATCAATATGGAATTTTTTACAGTCGTTCCTCAGACAACATTTCGTGGGAAAACCAATGATTACATCGCGAAATGTTAAGTCATTTGGGTATTTTGATTAAAGAAAGAAAAAACTGTTAGTCGGAGTCAGTTCTACTTATACCTATCTCTAGTTTGCTTATTTTAGAAATTCTTGAAGAACGAGTAAAGTCCTGAGTAGTTATAGGGAGCTTAGGCAATCACGACAACGACGACGTCAAAAAACAATCGGTTTCATGAGCAAAACAACAGGTCTGCACGACCATCATGCTTTTTAGTACATTTTTCGGACGTTCAATGCACGACTACGACGTAATAGAGGACGTGAACATTACGCAACGAATTTTTCTTTCTACTTTTTAAAGCTGAATAGAGTCCTAAGAATTCAATTCCAGGAAAGATCGCCTACATTTGACAAATTGAGCCGGTCCAAATAGACGTGATACGTTTTGTAAGGATGAATTTTTTTTTTCGGCGACGTTTTCACTCCCTCCGCCGTCGTCGTTGATAGGGAGTTTAAGAACCGACGTTTTTTGAGCATCGCACGTCGATCGGAAGTGGAATTTTTGCACTCTTGAGACGTGAATTTGAATAAATTTTTGGGCAGATCGGCTCCATAAGAGCCAAGACACTTATCAATACAAATTTAGCATCGTCAAGGTATATTAAAAGAGAAAAAGGCTCACTTCCGATGACGCGCACCTGCGTCGCTTAAAGGGTTGCTGCTTAGCACTCGGACGTACGTGCAAACTCAAAACCCCACCGTAGTGCAATGAGGGTGGTTGGAGCCTCTTCCAAGCGTTTTCGTTAAGTTTCAAAGCTTTGAAAAGGTTTTACCCGTAATAGATAGCCTGTTATGTCGTCTACAAGATTATGCTAATATCCAAATGAGGCTGGTGACAGCATCCAACATGGCGGACGTTTTTAGATTTATTCATTTTTGCCATTATATTTGTCACTTTTACCCGAAAAGTTTAAGTTTTACACGGTAAATAGACTTTTTAAGAGCCTTGCGTAAAAAGATGCTTTAATACATTATTACTAGGTATGCTTTTTTAAAATTGTGCAAGTTTATTTTTTTGCATAATTCGTCATCATGACCATAATTTTCACCTATTTTCCGAAAAAAAAAACACTGCTAGCATAATTTGCACTTTTTGCTTGTTTTACAGCACCAAATTGTCATTTACTAGTCGTGCAACCATTTTTTTTTTTGGCCCGAGATCATTGTGACGGGCAAATTGATGTAACAAGGTCAATTTTTTTGTCAGCTTATATTGTCCTTGGTCCGACAAGAAGTGTATGACCAACTGTCTTAAATCTCAACAGGATTTTATCAAAAACAAACAAACTTGATGTATAAAGTCAGCTATTTGGCAAGAGCACAGGGTAAAGCCAAAAGACATACTGCGCATGTCCCTAGTGTTACTTAGCAACCAGGAAATATTACTGCGCAATATCAACACACAACACATGCGCATAACTAACCCGCTTACCCAAGGTGGCGTCTGCGTGCTGGTTGTTAATTGTTTGTGTTTCTGTAGTTGTCAGACAATGAATTATCCTTTCTTAAGTTTCTAGAAGTAAATTTTTCGGGTAAATGTGTTTGCCATGTTTGTTGAATAGTTATTAAGGTATTTACCTAATTTAAAATTTAGAGTAATTGAAGATCGTAGATTTTTTTCCCAACCAGTTTTAAAGATTGATCACTAAAACTCGTCGACCACACGAATACAGAGTGTACGAATCTTTTGCTCTTGTTTTCAGACTCTCAACGCTAATCGCTTTCCCAGGAGCTTTCCCTAGGGTTAGGGCTAGGATTATGGTTAGGCCTGAGGTTAAGGTTACATCTAAGATCGAAGAGTTTTAATTTATCCTTACCAGTTTTAAAGAATCCGACCGTAGAAGTCTTTGACGACACGCCTGGGTTCGCACTTTTAACGATAGTCGTTCTCCCAAGAGCTTACCCTAGCCCTTACTCTAGGCCTAACGCTCAAGCTAGGGTTAGGGTAAGCTCCTGGGAAAACTTCTTCTGGGTGAGAATATTGCTCCGAAAACTTGCAATATTACATTTTCATACGTGCAAAATTTTGCACCACTCCTTACTTGGTATTTACTATCTCGTATATCTATGAGCCGATTTTCACCAAATTCACAGCAAATAATCTCAAAGATAAACGAAAAGCTACTGGAATGGACAAGCAAACCTTCAACCTAAAATCTAATTGATAAATTCGAGTAGTAGAGGGTAGCATCCACACCCCTTCTCTCTTATTTGTCCAAGGGCGGCGGTAGTACTACTTATACATGTATTTAAATGAAAATGATGTAAAACTAAACTTGAACTTTACGTAAATTAACTTTCTGTCCTCACGTTTTATTCTGTGCAGTTTGTTTTGGCCATTGGAATGATCATGTTCTTAATTGGTGGAAACATAAGGATGATCCTAATGTCCTGTTTCTCAAATATGAAGATTTACACAAGGTAAAGCTGCAGTTTAACTAACATGTATGTCTCTAAGTTTCCTTCGATGATCATTTTATTAATGGTCATAAACTTTTTTGATGATGTATGGATGTTGGTACGAGGAAAAAGATGTTGTTTAGGCGATTTTCCTTGACTTGCACGTTAAACATGTTCATGCAAATGGCAAAATTTGAGAATTATTTTCTTTGACACTGGGATGAGAAAACATAAAAACATGTTAAGTTTTCCCATGTATATTAAGATCAAGTTTTTCCTTGACAACTCAAAATTAATCGTGATGATGCGGTGAATGCAGCCGCTCTTTTTATATCCATCATTTCCCGTTTATTTTACCGGGCGACGTTCTTCTGCTCCTTCTTTCAGTAAAATTAGTCGTATCGAGTTAAACCCCCAAAACACATTGCATCTATCTCTACATCTGCATATATAAAATACAAAATCCGTATGGGAACATGTCGCAAGTTTCCGAAAAATAAATAAGTAATCAAAAACAGAGAGTAAAAAGCCAGCGGAGGCAGCCAGATTAAGTGAAAAACAGCATTTGCAGCAAGCTCAAAATTGTCAGTCGAATCAATGTTTTAAAATATTAGGTGGCGGAGACAGAGTTTAATTGTTCTTGGCCAAAATCTGAACTTGTAAGCATCACATGGAGCCCGGTTTAATTGGACAGGAATGAATTTAAGCGAATGGGATTGAAATTTCGGATCGGCGAACTGGACTCCTGTTGGACGGTAGACGGAATGGTGATCGCAGCTGCAGATATTCCGAAAACAATGGTTCGGTATAGTTTAAAATCAATTTGCTACTTTATTTTGATTTACAAAGAGCACATCTCCTACCTTTGATAGCCAAGTTAGTAATGAAAGGGGAGTTGAAAATATTGGGCTGTCCAACCCATGCCATGCCAAAACAATAAAAAAAACACAGCCTCCTTAATCCTGTTCGATGAAGTGTACTGTCTCCCCCATAATGACTGTTAGGAAAGCGATGGTATATCTATATATAGCTAGTACAGGATTCATTCCTTCCAGGATCTCCAGTACCATGTTCGAGTGATAGCTGATTTCCTACACAAGCCACTGTCGGATGAACTTATCAGTCGTATTGCAGCGCAGTGCACTTTCCAGGGAATGAAGGCAAATGAAATCAGTTACAAGATAAGGGACGAACAAGAGAGTTCGCCGTGGCTACGAAAGGGCGTGGTCGGAGGCTGGAAGAGTTACTTCACTACAGAGCTGAATGAGAGATTTCAAAAAGAAGTGTTGGCAAAACTGGAAGGATCTGGATTAGAGTTTGACTTTGAGATATAGGGGGTAATCATTTACTGAAGCCCTCGTATATTTAAGTGGCGCTTATTACAACATCTCTATGCGCTTTCACAATTCTAAAAGCTAAGTTACAAAGATAGAACTGAAGTATTTAGAGTCTAATTACGTTCCGTTCATGATGATTAGTTCTGATCTGGACACTTATTAAGATAACATTAAAAGTTCCACAAATGAAGCGCTAATAAAACCTTAAGGTTACACGAAAAGTCCCTTTATGGTTGCCTGAGGAGGTTTTGCTCCTGTGAAAAGAGGTCCATGACAAGAAAGCGGCTATGCAGAACGCTCCGTCTCCGCATGTTTTAGTATTTGATTCACTGGAATTTGCGGTACTGTTGATTTCAATTGTTGAAGGTGACGCGTTAATATGGCGCGACTGACAGGGAAAACGGCTTGAGATTGACGTTGACGCTTATACACTATGATAAATTTCCATTTTCCTTGGAGGTTCGAGAAATTGGCATTCCACTGTACAACGACAACAAAAAGAATGACCCGTAGATAGCAATGGCTAATCCTCTTGGCGGGAATTATCTGCTATACCATTAGGCCTTTGAACATTGTACTAGCATTTTTTTCGAGCATTTTAGTCAGGCAAAAGCATTAACCATTATTTGAGCATTTTTGCCTTTTCTCGGAAAATTATCAGTTTTTTGTTAGAGAACTAAAATTGGAAACCTCAGTTTTAAATAAAGGAAAATGACGGTTTTTTTTTTTAGGAGTTTAGACTCACTTTCTGTGAATTTTATTTCTGGTAGTAGGTCAGGTATCAAATTTTGTGGGTAGCCTCTGTCCATTAAGCGTTTTTTGAAATTTGAATTATTTTCCTCCAAGGTTGTTTCTGACGAGTTTTTTCTTCGGTTATATTAAATTGTAAGTTACAGTTTGGTGGGCTTTCGTAGATAATGCACCTGTTTCCCCCAATAAAATTAATGCTGACAGACGGTCGCCCCCAAAATTTTTCATTAAAATGCTGGGATAATGCTACTAGAAAGGAAGCTTGAATGAAAAACAGGAATCTTATACAACTGGCTAAAGAACCACCTATCATTTCCTTACAAGAAAGGAAAATCATTAAAGGATATGCTTTTTAGAGCCAGAAAAAGGTTAATAAAGGGTTTCAAGCCGGTATAGACGTGCTGTCAGTCACCCCTTGCATTTTCTCACACAACAGGTTTGAGAGTATTTTAGCAATAATTCTAGATGGCTGTGTTTTATAGAACAAGTATAGTCAACTGTCTTGTTAGTGTCTATGTAATAAAATAGGGTGACCCACCCACTAAGGGTAGCTGAAAATTACACGACCACCCCTTGCACAAGGCTCAAAACCTCATGACCCACCCCCTCTCTGCTCCGACTCACCCGCCACTATACTTTTTGACCAGTCCCTGACCAAAAGGAAAAATAACAACCCTCCTTCTTGATTAGGAAATTAAGTGAAGTAACGTAACGGCAATATAACATAACCATCAATGGTCAAGAGATACGTTTAACGTCGACAAATGAAACAAATGGAAATAAGTCATACGTGTTAGTGTTGTTATCGTAAAAGAGGTTTTGAAGCCGAGTTACTAGTTACTCATGCTGCATAAGTCTTTACCCATGAGTTCACCTGCCAAAACTTTGACCAATCTGAAACTAGATTGGTCCTGCCGAGTTATTAAGCTAAAGGCAAAGTTTAAAATTAATTAAAATTTAAAATTTATTTTTGACGTTTTTTGGTCGTAAGCTAAACACAAAAACTTAAAGAATGTTACTGAAGCAATTAGTTGGTGGCCTCCAAACTAGTTGATTTTACGCCAAGGCAGCGAAAGGTGCATGTCTGGGACTCTCTTCCCCTCGCTTGCAGAGTCTCCTCTCCCCCATCCCGAGGGTCTGTATGGACGGGCGTACCCTGACTTCACAACCCAATGTTCGCGCATCGATAGGTTTTCAGTTTCTATGACAATGGACGGGAAGCTCCGGTCACTAACATATCCATATAAAGCACACCGTAATAGATCTTATTCACGATACCCGGGATCTTTGCGCCCGCTTTGGGATTGTTGGATAAAACATGTCACGTGATATTTCAAGGGGGAAACAAGTGTTAAAATTTGTCAATACGAGTAATTGTGGTCGAGTTTGTTTATTTTCTTAAAACGGTACTACAAATTTTAGACGTGCAAAATGTACAGTCGAGTTTCGACAAGTTTTGCTCGTTGTAAAAACATTTACAGTCGCTACTGCATTAAAAAAATAACAACGATCAATCCCACCCATTCCCATTATCGCCTTTTAAGATGAAAAGTTCTGTATTTTCTATTTTGTAGAATAAACAAATTTGATCCACGAGTCCTTAAGTGCGAGCAAAGATAGCGGGTACCGTGAATCAGGTCTATTGCTTACTATTTTGTTTTGAGTAGTTGGCTATAACGTTTGGAATGACCATGTTCTTGACTGGTGGAAACACAGAGATGATCCTAATGTCTTGTTCAATTCAGCCGGTCTGAATAATTTGGGTCTGCCCTAATTCGAATTAGGTTCGGCTCATGAAAAGTTCGCTTTCTGAACCGGGCCTAAATTAGAAGCCAAAAAAAATGCAGGTAATGAAAGAAAGTCAGGGGGGGTGATGTGGCCTTGAATTCTTCGCATAGAACTTGCTTTAGTCTCCAGCATCGTCTGTCACGTAGAGCCTTCACGCAGCTAAAGTGTATGGCCCAGTCCAGGATGTCTTTTTGATGGACTTTGAATGTTTCTTTGCTAATCAAAAACCAAGAAGAGAGTCACCTCAAGAGAACCATGGGTAAGATCTGAGTTTCTTGGCAATATTTACTTTAGTTGAGTCGGTTTAAGGTGTGTGGCCTCCAGGAGCCAGCTGGTGCGGTTTTCATAAATCCAGCTAGATAAACGAGGGTTAAAACCAAGTACACTTATTCAAAGTGTTTCCTATCGTTTTTATTTTGTTATATTCAAACAACAGACCAGTTGTATAATAGAAAATACATACTATGAATAATAAATAAAGTTCATAGATAATGATGTTCTTTCTTGTGATGCAAATTTCCATCTCCAAGTCAAACTCCTTGGTTAAAATGTTTATCAGAACATGACTGTAGCCTATTATAAGAATGATTAACCTGCTTGATCTTGCTTGGATGACAGGTTTTTTATTTTTAAGTATAAAAAGGCAAATTTCTGCCAGCAGGATTTTTAAATCACTAGGTTCTCCTTTACTATATCTGAACTCCTGGAGGGGCATGACAGACCAGTCTCAACGTCAAGTCCTCGAATGACAGGAGTACCTCATAGCCTCCCACGCAGACATTCTTATGGGTTCGTCAAGCGTTCCTGCCCCACTAACGTCTGCTGATTTGAGCGAAAAAAAAAAACTTAAACCAATCACAGCAGACTTCCAGATCTGGGAAGTGCACTTTGGACCTTGAGAAATTTCGCGCTTGAGTTAGCTCCAGAAAAGATCAGAAAACAAACAAACTACTCTCGACAGTTAACTCACAAGCGTTTGTACTAGAGGCTACCCTCACAATCTCATTGAAAAAGATTACCTTCAGTGGAGGTTAAATTTGCTGAACGGAAGTCCGCCTTACCACAAAACAACAAAGTGTGAAAAAAATTCTGCCTTTTGTTAAGTTATAAGGTAACACCGCCGTTGCATCACCCAAAGAACAACTTCATGAGCAAATGACATCTAATCCAGCCTTCACAGAGAGAAATATACAAAAGGTCAACGCTTATGTATATCTCCTAGATTCTCGTCCGCAGCAAAACTCTTTGGTCACGTATCACACTCTACCGAACTTGTACGTATGTGTTTGGCTTGTCAACACTTTGACTTCAACGGCGCCGATTGGATCTCCGATAATCTGCATGTGATCCCCAGCTGATATTTGCGAACAATGGGAAGGGAATTTATCTTTCGGTTCAGCAGACATAAGTGGAGCAGCAACGCGTGACGAACCCCTAAGAACGTCTGCGTGGGAGGCTAAGTACCTCAAGGTTCCCATCGTTATGATGCTATCGAAGTCTTATGAAACATTCAGAATCAGTACATAATGAGATCAAAATGAAACGGAAAAAGCGGCCTATTAAAAAAAATTATTGGTTTATAAGTTAATACAACCTGACTGACAAAAAAAAAAACGATACGCAAGCATAAAGAAACCAACATGAACAGTTTATCTCTCTCCCACGACATACGATCCTACAACCACTTAGTATGCGACAATCCCAGTGAATTAAATGCTACACGGGGACAACAGCTTTCTTGAGGATCAACATGCAATATATGATCTTGATGGCTTTGCGTTATCTTCACAAAACGGGCTGGAGAGACACACAGAACACTGTCAATCCTTTCCAATACACATTAAGATTTTCACTTGACCAAAGACTTTCGTTTCCGGTTTCTNAAAAAAAAAACTTAGACCAATCACAGCAGACTTCCAGATCTGGGAAGTGCACTTTGGACCTTGAGAAATTTCGCGCTTGACTTAGCTCCAGAAAAGATCAGAAAGGTCTCATGAAAGGTGAATACCTTACAGTTTTGGAACAAACTACTCTCGACAGTTAACTCATCACAAGCGTTTGTACTAGAGGCTACCCTCACAATCTCATTGAAAAAGATTACCTTGGAGGTTAAATTTGCTGAACGGAAGTCCGCCTTGCCACAAAACAACAAAGTGTGAAAAAAAATTCTGCCTTTTGTTAAGTTATAAGGTAACACCGCCGTTGCATCACCCAAAGAACAACTTCATGAGCAAATGACATCTAATCCAGCCTTCACAGAGAGAAATATACAAAAGGTCAACGCTTATGTATATCTCCTAGATTCTCGTCCGCAGCAAAACTCTTTGGTCACGTATCACACTCTACCGAACTTGTACGTATGTGTTTGGCTTGTCAACACTTTGACTTCAACGGCGCCGATTGGATCTCCGATAATCTGCATGTGATCCCCAGCTGATATTTGCGAACAATGGGAAGGGAATTTATCTTTCGGTTCAGCAGACATAAGTGGAGCAGCAACGCGTGACGAACCCCTAAGAACGTCTGCGTGGGAGGCTAAGTACCTCAAGGTTCCCATCGTTATGATGCTATCGAAGTCTTATGAAACATTCAGAATCAGTACATAATGAGATCAAAATGAAACGGAAAAAGCGGCCTATTAAAAAAAATTATTGGTTTATAAGTTAATACAACCTCACTGGCAAAAAAAACGATACGCAAGCATAAAGAAACCAACATGAACAGTTTATCTCTCTCCCACGACATACGATCCTACAACCACTTAGTATGCGACAATCCCAGTGAATTAAATGCTACACGGGGACAACAGCTTTCTTGAGGATCAACATGCAATATATGATCTTGATGGCTTTGCGTTATCTTCACAAAACGGGCTGGAGAGACACACAGAACACTGTCAATCCTTTCCAATACACATTAAGATTTTCACTTGACCAAAGACTTTCGTTTCCGGTTTCTGCTGGTTAGGTGGTCAGCCGCGACTCACATCACTCGCTTTCCCTAGCTCGCGAGCGTCCCTCTCGACGTCGCCGCTCACGTAACCTGCCATCAGGCGGTTCTAATCTTCCGTGACTTTTCTTCTTTTCCCGAAAGAAGAAAAAACGCCTGATCGCTGGTTTTAATATAACTGAACCAGAGAGAATTTCCCGCCTGGAAGGTGACCTAAGTAATTCTTGGTCGACGTGAGAAATGCCTGCTAGCCCTGCTAGAATTGCAGTTGACACTGATGTTGAGCTACCAAAAAGACAGCAGCACCAAAAAACAGAAATAAAACAGGCAAACAAAAAAGAAACCCGATAGCAATGAAAACAAACAACAATGAACAAACACGTCTTAAAGAGTAAAGCGACTGAATCAGTCAAAGGCTACTCAAGGGGATACTTAACATCTAAACTACTGCAGCATTTAAAGCGAATTTCTTTTAATTATGACGACAGGAGCCATAGAATACCGTTCTTTCCTCTTTATTGCATGTGGTGTTACACGTCACGCATTATCGCGTGACTAGCCTTTGTTTCGCCCCTGGTTTCGCAATTCACTGCACCCAATAATTTATCATGGCAAGTCCGTCTGTAATTCAAACAAGAGAAGGAGAATGGACGTCAGAAAAATACTGGAATGTTTTGGGCGTAAATATTCCAGACATTTTCACCAACGATCCAGCATTGCTAGCTGACTACATTGTCTATTTCGACACGCGAGCGGACGATGTTTTTGTGGTTTCGTATCCTAAGTCAGGTTCGTTTATCATAATTATAATTTTATATACTGATAATTTAAGAGTTTCTGCCACGACAGTTCGCGTTGAGTTCAAATGTCCTTTTCTGGAGGTCGACCTAGTCTTAATGACTAACGAACGACCGTTCATCAAACTCTCAGGGTGTACAAAACAGGGGCACCCAACGAGGGTATAGTTCAAAACCACTTAACATAGCATTGTTGAACGTATTTTAGTATTTAAACGGTAGATATAGGCATATTTTTATCCCCTAAAAACTTTTCATCTGTTCGGATTTCCTAGCTGAAAGTCTAGTGATCCNGCCGCGACTCACATCGCTCGCTTTCCCTAGCTCGCGAGCGTCCCTCTCGACGTCGCCGCTCACGTAACCTGCCATCAGGCGGTTCTAATCTTCCGTGACTTTTCTCCTTTTCCCGAAAGAAGAAAAAACGCCTGATCGCTGGTTTTAATATAACTGAACCAGAGAGAATTTCCCGCCTGGAAGGTGACCTAAGTAATTCTTGGTCGACGTGAGAAATGCCTGCTAGCCCTGCTAGAATTGCAGTTGACACTGATGTTGAGCTACCAAAAAGACAGCAGCACCAAAAAACAGAAATAAAACAGGCAAACAAAAAAGAAACCCGATAGCAATGAAAACAAACAACAATGAACAAACACGTCTTAAAGAGTAAAGCGACTGAATCAGTCAAAGGCTACTCAAGGGGATACTTAACATCTAAACTACTGCAGCATTTAAAGCGAATTTCTTTTAATTATGACGACAGGAGCCATAGAATACCGTTCTTTCCTCTTTATTGCATGTGGTGTTACACGTCACGCATTATCGCGTGACTAGCCTTTGTTTCGCCCCTGGTTTCGCAATTCACTGCACCCAATAATTTATCATGGCAAGTCCGTCTGTAATTCAAACAAGAGAAGGAGAATGGACGTCAGAAAAATACTGGAATGTTTTGGGCGTAAATATTCCAGACATTTTCACCAACGATCCAGCATTGCTAGCTGACTACATTGTCTATTTCGACACGCGAGCGGACGATGTTTTTGTGGTTTCGTATCCTAAGTCAGGTTCGTTTATCATAATTATAATTTTATATACTGATAATTTAAGAGTTTCTGCCACGACAGTTCGCGTTGAGTTCAAATGTCCTTTTCTGGAGGTCGACCTAGTCTTAATGACTAACGAACGACCGTTCATCAAACTCTCAGGGTGTACAAAACAGGGGCACCCAACGAGGGTATAGTTCAAAACCACTTAACATAGCATTGTTGAACGTATTTTAGTATTTAAACGGTAGATATAGGCATATTTTTATCCCCTAAAAACTTTTCATCTGTTCGGATTTCCTAGCTGAAAGTCTAGTGATCCGAAAATTATAGGGATCAAAACTTACCTTTTCGAAAATTTCAGCCAGGAAAAGGCTTCCGAAAATTCTAGGTGGCCTTTTTTAGGGTAAATATCCGTTTAAAATGGGTAATTATACCATTTTGTAGATGTTCGAAAATCCTAGAAGAGGCAGGCAAGGAAGAAATTTTACAACAAATGTTCCGAAAATTCTAGTTCTCAAATCGTCTTCCGAACAGATATTTTCCCGAAAATTGCCGTTGGGTGCCCCTGACAAAAGCGAAATTTTCTATCCTGGGGAAGTTTGACTTTGATTTCATTTGCATTAATAGCACGAGTCGCCCTTGTTTATTCATTGTAGAATCATCATAAAATATATTAAAAGCAGGTAATATAATATATAGGACGTAAATGCTAGCCACGACTCGACACGACCATTGGTCAGTTCGCCCCTTGGGCAAATTTTGAGCATGGAATCCTGCGTCCTGGATCCTGGACATGGGAATTGGGAATACACCTCAAGGAATCCAGAATCCAAGTTCCACCAAGCCACAAATGGCTCATAGTTCCACTGACAAAGACTGAAATGCAGTACCTGGAATCTGGACTCCACGACGTGGAATCCAGAATCCAAGACTGTCTTGGATTCCTTTCCATGGGGCGAATTTGAAGATCTTTTTTGAAATAGTCCGGATGTACTTAACTGACCACCACAGAAGATACTATAACATACGATAATACCGTAAAATTCCGAAAATAAGTCCCTCCATGTATAAGCCCTTCCAAATATAAGCCCCCCAAAGTCGTAACTCGAAAAACCCTCCGTTAAATCGCCCCTCCGAATATAAGCCCCCTGGGGGGCTTGTACTTGGAATTTGCCCTCGAATACAAAGTAAAACAAAGAAAAAATGGTAAATTTCCTTCCCACTGCAAGCTAGCCGAATCGATTTTGAAACGCAAATTTCCCTCCGTACATGAGCCCCTCCGAATATAAGCCCCTCCAAAAAAAAGCCCCTCAAAAAGGGCTCTTGAAAAATATAAGCCCCAGGGCTTATTTTCGGAATTTTACGGTATGCTCTTTCTTTGTCAACCCGAAGTTTTGCATAAGCATTGTCTTCAGTTTCTCTTGGGGCCATTTTAACTCCCAAGATAAACTGAAAAAAAAGTGCTTTTGCAAAATTTTGGGATAACAAAAAAGAGCATTATGGTTTTTTATAGTATTTTCTGAAGTATTCAATTAGAACATAGTTACTCTTATATATTTCAGGGTCACATTAAGCAGGATTCTATACCTGGTTTGCAAGTCTTTTTCCTTAGAAATGAGGAGGAAGCCTACCAATAGTTACATAAAGAGTTCCATCGCTCGATCTTGACAAACCCATTTTAAAGGACTAAATGGAAGAGGGAGGAGAGGTTTCCACGCTGGGAACGAGGTTGACCTCGTAGCTCTTCTAATTTCCATCATGTTTACTTTTATCATTCATTATCTAGGGACAACTTGGGTACAAGAAATTGTTTGGCAAATCTACAACGAGGGAGCAATCAGCAGCGAAAAGCAAATATATCGATTCCCATTTCTAGAGGATACCGCCTGTAATATGAGCGAACACATGCAAATTGATTTCAAAGCACTGCCAAGTCCTCGCCTGATTAAGTCCCACCTAACCTACAGCACTACTCCAAGAAGTGCAAATAAAGATGATCAGTGTAAATATATTTACGTTGCTCGCAACCCAAAAGATGTGGCAGTGTCATATTTTCATTTCACGGAGCACTGGAAGAAGGAAGGAAACGGTTACAATGGACCATGGGAATTTTTCAGCAAGTTATTCATAGAGGGAAATGGTAGGTCTTTGTATTTCCCAGGCAAATAAGGATTGTTTTGACCAGCAGGTTTTGAGTGCATTTATTTGAAACGGAACCCAGACACGTTAAAAGGGGCAGCTCAGTCCGTTTTGTTTGGTATAAAAAACCAAACTAAAGTAATAACGTTAGTTAGGTCGACACTTGACACTCGCTTCAAGAAGTGATAAACCCCTGCCCTCCAAGTGGCTACGTTAAACACGTCTCAGAACAGAGAATAAGAACCAAAGTCAAACTCTGTCCACGTTTAGTGTCGACGCCGGGTTGTATTGGGGGGGGGGGCGGGGGGTAGTGTAAGATGGAGTGGAATCGACGTTTCGTTGCACTAGCGAGGGGGGAGGGGTTGCTGATCTTGCCTAATTAGGCATAGAAGTTGACTGCATGGTGTAAATAATGGGTTACAATACAAGACCTTGATATTTGTCCCAACCGAAATGTCTACCAGATTACTGATTAAGATATAAGATAGCTTATGAAGTGATATAAAAAAAGGGTCAACCTTTTTTTATCTTTTTGTTGTGTGCAGTTGGTTGGAACTTTTGGAATGATCACGTTCTTGGATGGTGGAAACAAAAAGATGATCCCAATGTCTTGTTTCTCAAGTATGAAGATTTACATAAGGTAATTTTGCAATTTCGGGTTAAAAATAATCTATGGCTTGTTCAAGGTGCCAGCATAAACTTCTTCGTACAGAAGTCAGATATTTTTCTTTGTTTCATGCCCGTGACATATGTACTGTTCACCTTCCTCACTTCTTAAGAAAGCTTTGGACGATCCAGTTTTCCTACCGCAAAAATGCATAGATCTTGAAATGATATTTGAGTCTAAAGGTGTGCTGAGTGAATTATATATGTCGGTCAATCATGAATTGAACGGTAATCTAAAACAGTACAATTTACACTCGTCCTAGGATCTACCGTCCAATGTACGAAGGATTGCAAATTTTCTGAACAAGACGCTGTCAGATGAACTCATAAATCGTATTGCAGAGCAGTGTTCTTTCAAGGGGATGAAGAAAAATGAGATCAGTTACAAGTTTGAAAGCGAAGAAAAGACTTCGCCCTATCTACGGAAGGGCGTGGTCGGAGGTTGGAAGAGTTACTTCACTCCAGAGTTAAATGAGAGATTTGAAAAGGAAGTGATGGAGAAAATAAAAGGAACTGGATTAGAGTTTGATTTTGAGGCATATTAAGAAAGGCAATTCTCCAGTAACAGGAACAATAAAATTGCTTATTTATCATAGGATTTAAATCAATTACGCTATATGTTGTGTATTTGAAGTCAAACAACTAGTCAACGTTAGAAAACAATGCGAGGAGAAGCTTAGAAAAAAAGGCGAGAAGTTGTCTGTAGAAATTTATTATTTCGTTCATGTGATCTCAGCGCGCGCACAATTATTGAGCATGCGCACTTAAGGTGATGTTACACGGGACGATTCGCAACGACGATTTTTAACGCAACACAACATCGCAATATTGGAACAGTGTTACAACTGTTCGACACAATGTCGCAACAATGTTGCAACGCTGTGTTGTGCTAATAATCGTCGTTGCGAATCGTCTCGTTTAACATCACCTTTACGGAGCAATGACGTGAGAGCCCTTGCTTTGTCGACTGTCATTCTGATAGCACAGTTAAGTTTCCCCGATCATGCAAAGGCAAAGACAACTTTTATCGTAAGGCAAACTTTTTTTGTCTAGGGTCGTTGGAAGTTTTCGAAATTCACCTTCAATTTTCTTGTTTTCTGCCTTTGCAAAGTGGCGCGATCGACGTAAATCGAACACAGGTTCGAAAAATGCTTGGCGTAGTAGGGATGTTGTCCACATTCAGCCACTTTTAGCAAAGGGTGCAGAGAGGCTATTTGTGGCCTTCATTGAGGTGAAAATTTACGGTAGATAGCAAGAATCGCCTTTATCTGTAGAATCGAATATAATACTGAACTTGACCGGTCAAACCGTTAGTGATCGTGTTACAAACCAGATAAAATTTTATCCAATGGCCCGGAAAACCACTGAAGATAATGACTGCGGACAAATAACAGCGATAATAAGGAGAAAAGGGTTGAAACGTACCTCTTTTTCTTTTCTGTCAAAGACAGCCTTGGATTCTGGATTCCAATCCATGGATTCCAGATTCCAGTTACTGGACTCCTGATTTTTTTTTCAGTGGAACTTTGATTCCAGATTCCATCTTTAGTGGGATTCCGGATTCCTTGAGCTGTATTTCAGATTCCAAAGCCCAGGATTTCATATTCCACAAACAAAACTTTCCCTGGTTCCTTACACAAGGCGATCTTGGCGGCACTTCGTGCCTTGCTCGGAAAGCTTCCCATTAGGCGACGTTCATTTAATAGAGGATTCAATTAACTGCAAAAACCGTGGACGAAGATCCTGCTAGTTGTAAACGTTGGACCTCTAGAAGAGAGATCTAATCAGCCAAAATATAAAGAACCAAAAACGAGGAGTCCAAAGACTACTGCAAAGCTGATTCAGAACAACGTGTATTGTTTTTTCATAACAATATTTCGGCTGGCCATACCAGCCTTCTTCAGGTTTACAGATGTTACTGAACTTATGTAGGAATCACAATATTATATAGATGGAGAATATCGCAATAAAAATTGTTTAAAAGGCAGAGGTGGAAATGACGCACAACAAAAAAACTGGAAAGGAAAAATACTGTATTACTGTAATCCATATCCTTAGTATTTTTCCTTTCCAGTTTTTGTGTTGTACGTCATTTCCGCCTCTCGCTTTTAAGCAATTTTTATTGCGACAAAAATAAAAACTTCAAAACGCGACTTATCTCTAGGGGTTACCATGAGAAAATGGTGGAAAAGATCCTCTCGGAAAATAACTAGCAGACAGGAAAACAGTAGCAAAAAAAACCGACAACACACAGGAAGCTTTTACCCTTTGTGACGCAATTTCAACCATCATTACCATGTACGAAAAACAAACTAATGGATCAATGACATTTAATACAAGACCAACCATCACTGAGAGGGATTTTTAAGAAACCTCCCTTGTCTCTTGTAGAAAAGGAAAATCGCTTAAAGACATGCTTGTTAAAGCAAAATTTTAAAGGCTGTGAACAACACAATGGCTACACAGCAGGAGTCGTGCAGGCCTGTCACAAGACTGCTTGCACTCCGCCTTTTCTCTTAAAATCCGTCTAGTTCTTATCTCATCCAGCACGATTGCAAACAACGACGTTATTATTACAATAAGGTATTGATTACGCCCTCGTTTCTCAAGGCTCGCGGCTTTGCCGCTCGCGTCCTTAGGTTTCGCGTGCAGTAACTTTGCAAAGAAAAATAAGAGACTGCTCGCAGTCTAGTCTGTCACCCCGGGGGGGGGGGGTACTCCCATACATTACCTATACGGGTATGTGCCGCCCAACGGGGTCGTGAGTTTGAAGCTCCTGATTTAGAACAGGGTATCCATTTCACAGGCGTTTTCTAGAACGGGGTATAATATTTCGAACGCACGAAAGCACCAGTTTTGTAAGCAGCCATTTGAAATTATTCAAGGACAGATTGCTTTTAAAAATACGGTTCAGTGCGTTAATAAGCAGACTGTTGTACTCTTGTTGCACCCTAGAACGGAGTATAAAAAATTGGCCCATTCCTAGAACGAGGTATCAGTTTTAGGGCAAATTCTAGAACGGGGTATAAAAAATTGGCCCATTTCTAGAAAGGGGTATCAATTTTAGGAGAAATTTTTTTTAGAACGGGGTGCCAATTTGGAGTCCCGGGCGGCACATACCCACCCAAAAAATACCCAAGTGCCCCCCCCGGGCTGTCACCCCCATTTTAAACATAACTTACGGTACATCATTATTATAATTTATTATATTTTTTGCATGTCTTAGGGGATATTTAAAATAATATTTATTTTGTCGTTGTTTTAAGATTCCTAAGTAACTGACCTTCATAAGACGGGTTTTCTCGAATTCAAGAAAATGTGCTAAAAGTGAATAGCTGGAACATTTGGCTTCGAATGATGAATAAAGCTGGCATTAGTTCAACTTAACAAACAGTGTCCTTTTATTCTAAATATTTAAAGGTTCCCCATTTTAAAATTTTCCGTTTTAAAGATTCTCCGTTTTTAGGATTCCCGCTTTTAAAGAGATTCCCGTTTTTAAAGATTCCCTATTTTAAAGATTCCGAGGCGTTCCCTGTTCCCCGTTCCCCGCTCCCCGTTCCTCCTTCTCCGATTCTCCGATTCCTTGATTCCTCTTTTTAAAGACAGCCTTCGACGGGGAGCTCAATCTGAACTTTTCAAGCTCAATTCCTTGCCATGAAGGCTGGGAAATCGTGTTAAGATATGCCCGTCGTGAGAGACTAACTCTAACATTTTGACCTCCTCTGCTTTCAAAAAGATCTTTGGGCATTTCTCTTTTGGCCCTTTTACCTTAAACTTTTCTGAACAAGCCGCTGTCAGATGAACTCATAAATCGTATTGCAGAGCAGTGTTCTTTCAAGGGGATGAAGAAAAATGAGATCAGTTACAAGTCTGAAAGCGGGGAAAAGGCCTCGCCCTATCTACGAAAGGGCGTGGTGGGGAATTGGAAGAATTACTTCACTCCAGAGTTAAATGAGAGATTTGAAAAGGAAGTGTTGTCGAAACTGAAAGGAACTGGATTAGAGTTTGATTTCGAGGCATATTAAGAAAGGCAATTCTCCAGTAACAGGAACAATAAAATTGCATCTAAATCAGAGGATTTAATATCAAGTACGCTCTGTGTAATTTGTTTCGAAGTCAAACAACTAGTCAACGTTAAAAGCAATGCGAGCTAAGAAAAAAAGGCTAAAGGTTGTCTCTAGAAGTTTGTTTTCGTTCACGAGATCTCAGCGCGCGCACAATCATTGAGAATACGTACTAAAGGTGATGTAACACGGGACGATTTGCAACGACGATTTTTAGCGCAACACAGGGTTCCAATTTTGGAACAATATTGCAGCTATTCGAAACAATCTAACAACAATGTTGTAAAGCCGTGTTGCGCTAAAAAGTGTCATTGCGAATCGTCCCGTGTAACATCACCTTTACGGAGCAATGATGTGAGAGCCCTTGTTTTGTCGACTCTCATTCTGATAGCACAGTTAAGTTTCCCCGATCATGCAAAGGCAAAGATAAATTTTACCGCAAGGCAAACTTTCTTTGTCTAGGCTCGTTGGAACGTTTCGAACTTCACCTCCAATTCTGTTCTTTTCTGCTTTTGCAAATTGGCGCCATCGACGCAAATCAGACACGGGTTCGAAACATGCTTAGCTTAGTAGGTTATATTTTTAAGTTGTTGTCCACATAAGTCTCTCTCCTCCGCAGAGGCCTCTTTGTGTTGTGGGGAGACTGGGGAGAAAGAAAAAAAAGCGCGCGGGGCACGATGGGAAGGGGGAAGAGAGACGAGAGGCCGCCGTTTCCCTCTTCCCATCGTCCCCCGCGCGCTTGCTATTTTTTCTATTATAATATTTTGATGCAGGGTCATGGGCTCCTGTTTGATGGGGATGCCCAGCGGGAGCCTCTGCGGAGGAGAGAGCACATAAGTCACTTTTAGCAGGGGCACCCAACGGAAAATTTTGCGAAAAAGACCTAAAAACAACAACAAAGCGTGAATAGAGTTTTCTGAGACTATTTTAAGCATTTTGGGAGATTGCTGGAAAAACATTATCTGTTCCTCACTCCCAGCAAGACTGATGGAAGAGTTCCCAGCCAGCAACCTTACAACTTGCAACCTGACTTACTGTGAAGTTTTATAGGGCACAATTCAGATCTTGAGTGGTAAGTAACCCATACAAGTAACCTGCAGCAGCTATTCTAGACTTCAAATCCCCTCTGACACCCTGAATTATCTTTTTCCCAGCAACACTTTCCTTCCAGGGACTATTATTTCTTCCACATCTCCCAGCCAGCAAAAATGTGCCTGAAGAACAGATATTTTGAGGAACAGATCCATTGGATGCCCCTGTTTTAGCACAGGTTTCAGAGGGGTTATTTGTGGCCTTGACTGAAGTTAAAATTTAACGTATAGATAAACCGAATCGGCGCCTTTTTACTGTAGAATCAAATATGAACTGAACTTGACCGGTTAAACCGTCAGCGATAGTGTTCACAAACCTGGTAATATTTTATCAAATGATCTACAAAACGTCTGAAGGTAATGCCTACCCCTCCCTGACAGGATGTGAGCTACCGATTTTAGGGATGAAACATGTCTCTTTTCTTTTCTATCAAAGACAGCCTTGGATTCTGGATTCCAAGCCATGGATTCCAGGTTCCAGATACTGGATTCCTGATTTTTTTTTCAGTGCAATTCTATCTTTAGTGGGATTTTGGATTCCTTTAGTCTCCTTCGCAGCCGTTATTAGGGTCGTCACTTGTCACGCAACCCTCTAGGTCCGGAATCCGAATTTCCTTACATAAGGCGATCTTCTCGGCACTTCGTGCCACGCTCGGAAAGCTTCCCATTAGGTGACGTTCATTTTCACCGAAAGACGGAAAGGTTTGTGGGGATTGGAGAAGGGGTTGAGTATGCTAATTTCACAATTGGGAGTCAATACTTGTTTCGAAAGGCACTGAGCATTGGATCGTATTTTGCTAGGTTTGTAACATGATCGCCTGACCGTGTGATCTGCCAAGTTTATTTTCGATTTTTCAGTAAACAAAGACGTACCCTGGGTGCAAGAGGTTTTTTTCTCGCGGCTGAATGCTTCGGTTCTTCGGCCAAAGTCACGAGCGGCGAACTCACTTGGCCGAAACCGGAAGCTGCGCATAAAAAGTCTCTGACATCCAAGGTAACAAAGGCGATTGGCGCTATTACAGCGGTGATCATATTGGCGTGAACACCTAAAATATGTCTGGAATGTTTATTGTGATGTAACCAATAACAGACGAGATCATCACACCACAGAAACCACAGGCAACGAACAGTTTCCTATCTGTCACGGAACAAATTATTTTCATTTTGTTTTAACATTCAGTCTTTTTACAAGTAAACAATTGCTTTTCCTTCCTATTTGTTTACAGTATTTGCTATAATAGCGAAGAATACAGGTTTGAGCGATTTTGAAATAAATTACAAAGCCGATGTGCC